GAATTGCATCAAATTTGTTATAAAATTGTACCAAAAAAATCTCAGTCCCATGGCAGAATGTGTAGAATTGCAGGAAATTCACTTTAGAACGTACATCAAATATATATATTCTTTGCGGTTTTGAACCCAAAAAGGCTGGAGCCGGCCCTGGTGCACGTCAATGGGCAGGAACAATCGAACTGTCTGTCACTGTGGTATGCAACTGCCAACCAGTCCAGGCCATAGAGTAGAGCAGGAGTGAAAACCTACAGGAGGGTAGCTCTTCAGGAATAGGGTTGGAGAGCCCTGGAGTAGAGCATGTGATCGTATGTGTGTGTGTGTGCATGCAGACTTTTTTAGGTGCACGTACACGCGTTTCTCCGCTGCACACTTGGCATGCGGCTGGCCCGGTTGCCAGCAGCATCCCGTGAGATGAGGAAAAATAATCAAATGGATATCATACGGTCACAGCGGGCAGCAATAACCTCATTATTATTCTGACGGTAGCCAAACAGCTTCCTGTCACGCGAATCGGTTATTTATTGCACCTCCCGTGCCAACCGCGGGCCACAAACCCTCTGTCTTTTAACCACGCTAATTGGCTTCACGCTGTTTCATCGCGGAGACAGATGCGCCGGCTTTTGTAGAAGAATCTCGAAACGAACCATTTCTTAGTTCACCTTCAGTTAAAAGCAGACCATATGACATGCCCATTGTGGACCGAGTATACAATTTCATGTCCAACAAAACATGTCTGGAGACACAACACTGAAACCAGTCTTGGGGAAGCTACTCTGAATATATACTATAGTTTACCATTAGTACAGGGGGTTGGTGTCACCTTAATTGGGGAGAAGGGGCCCGTGGTAATGACTGGAGCGGAATCCGTGGAATGGTATAAAACACTAACATCGTTTCCATTTGCTCCGTCCAAACTCCCCTCAGCAGCCTCCACTGTTACCAAGCTACCAATTACTTCACATTGGATTAAGTTAAGCTACACTAAAGCCACCCTTATGAAAAAGTTTACTTACCATTACTTACTTTTCAAATGATTTTACTACATCCAAACATACTTTGTGAAGAATTATCATATCTAGATCTGAAATGTCAACCTGGTCTCAGAGCATTTCGTATTATTCTTTATTCACACTCCATTTAGTATGATATGTATTCATTTTTATTTAACTAGGCATTTGGGGATGTCCATCACCCATTTCCTATGATATGTTACTAATTACAATCCGTATTAATTAGTAAAACGTAGAATATGCTACGAATTGCAATTTGTTGTGGCTAATGTTAGCTAGGTGGCTAATGCTAACGTTAGGGGTTAGGGTTAAGGTTCGGGTTAAGGTTAGGGTTAGGGGAAGGGTTAGCTAAAAGGGTTAAAGTTAGGTTTAAAGGAAGGGTTAGCTAAAAGGGTTAAGGTTAGGGTTAGGGTTAGCCACCATGCTAAGTAGCTAAAAAGTAGTAAGTAGTTGAAAAGTAGCTAATTAGCAACATTTTTCCATGATGAGATTGAACACGCCTTTGGGTTGCCAGACGTTAGCGTTATACACCCATCCATCCGCCCCGACCAATTGCCTTCCTGTTGTTTTTACCTTAATTAACCTTCTGTCTTATGTAACCATACCAAATTTAACATATCGTTATAATTTCAGTGTCCCAGATTTACTTTTTACTATGTTACGTCTAGTCTATGAGACCAGGTTGGGAATGTCATAGACTACACATTGCAAGGACAGATCACTCTGGTGTCAGAATGTGTAATTTAGCTGTGTTTCAATGGAGAATTAGGCAGGTCTGATGCTGAAAAATGAAAGAATTGTCTACTTCACCCATATTTTATTTTTTGGGTGCATCAAAAAGTAGTGTGTAGTTCCTGTAGTTAGCTACACCACTAAATGGCAAAAAAAATACTGAAAACATGACCAAGATTTGAATTTAGTTCAACTACCACCAAGCTACTGCAAAATGTAGTTAAATTACTAGTTTAACTACATGTAGATCACTACTCCCCGACATTGATTAAAACTCATATTGTGATCAGTTAAGTGTCTCAGAGGTGCCTCATGTCATGGCTATCCAAAGGCCCAAACAATGCCATATTCTTTATAAATAATACAACAAATTATTGTATTGCTCCTAGCTTGCTAACATCCCCAAATCCCTACCACAGTCATAATTAAGGGTTATGTTGGGTTGTTCATGAGAGCACTCTATTTCGGTCCACATTATGAAATAGATGGAGTTCGAAGGGAATTGACTCCAACCCTGACAATACTATTGATGTTTAGATGATGGATCACCAGTCAGACAGACACGACTATGTGCCAGGTTGACACTTTGTGGTCACCTGGCAACCCTCCAGCCTCCAGAGAGAGCTGGGTGAGAAAGGGGTGAGATGGGCATTGAGGCAGGGTTAGAAAGGGGTGAGGTGTGCAGTGAGGTGGGTGAGAGAGGGGGGAGGTGGTCAGTGAGGCAGGGTGAGAGAAGGGGGGAGGTGATCAGTGAGGCAGGGTGAGAGAGGGGGGAGGTGGTCAGTGAGGCAGGGGTGAGAGAGGGGGGAGGTGGTCAGTGAGGCAGGGTGAGAGAGGGGGGAGGTGGTCAGTGAGGCAGGGGCAGAGAGGGGGGAGGTGGTCAGCGAGGCAGGGTGAGAGAGGGGGGAGGTGGTCAGTGAGGCATGGTGAGAGAGGGGGAGGTGGTCAGTGAGGCAGGGTGAGAGAGGGGGGAGGTGGTCAGTGAGGCAGGGGCAGAGAGGGGGGAGGTGGTCAGCGAGGCAGGGTGAGAGAGGGAGGGCTGAGGTGGTCAGTGAGGCAGGGTGAGAGAGGGGGGAGGTGGTCAGTGAGGCATGGTGAGAGAGGGGGGAGGTGGTCAGTGAGGCAGGGTGAGAGAGGGGGGAGGTGGTCAGTGAGGCATGGTGAGAGAGGGGGGAGGTGGTCAGTGAGGCAGGGTGAGAGAGGGGGGAGGTGGTCAGTGAGGCAGGGCACAGAGGGGGGAGATGTGGTCCAGCGAGGCGCGGGAAGAGGGAGGAGGGGTGGTCAGTGAGGCATTGTGAGAGGGGGAGTGGTCAGTGAGCAGGGGCAGAAGTGGGGAGGTGTGTCATTCTACGCAGGTGAGAGAGACTGCCTTGGACACAGGGAAGGGTGATCATGAACCACTATATGTGTATAATTACATACAGTGACGTGAAAAAGTATTTGCTCCCTTTCTAATTTTCTTTACTTTGCATAATTTTGATGCTGAATGTTATCAGACCGAATATTAGATGAAGGGAACCTGAGTGAACGAATAACACAATAATTACATAATGGGACCCATGTCATCCAAAAAGTTATACTTTGGAATGATCTGTCCATAGAACATTCTTCCAAGTGTCTTGATGATCATTCAAGTGCTTCCAGGTGCTTTTTGGCAAACTTGAGTCAACTCTTTGGATGACATGGGTCCCATTATACCTGGCGAAAACCAAACACTTCATTCCACAGTAAGAACCTCATACCAACGGTCAAGCATGGTGTTGGTGGTAGTGTGATGGTTTGGGGATGCTTTGTTGCCTCAGGATCTGGACGACTTGGCTTAATTGAAGGAACCATAAATTCTGCTCTGGTCATGCAGCAAGACAATGATCCAAAACACACAATCGAGTCTACATGAAAATGGCTAAAAAACTACACATTTGAAGTTTTGTAATGACCTAGTCAAAGTCCAGACCTAATCCCAATTGAGATGTTGTGGCAGGACTTGAAACGAGCAGTTCATGCTTGAAATCCCACAAATGTCGCTGAGTTAAAGCAGTTCTGCATGCAAGAGTGGGACAAAATTCCTCCACAGCGATGTGAGAGACTGATCAACAACTACAGGAAGCATTTGGTTGCAGTCATTGTAGTTAAAATGTGGCACAACAAGTTATTGAGTGTAAGGGGGCAATTACAGGTGAATTGGATGTTGCATCATTTTGTTAATTAAAAAAATAAGTATGCTTTTTTTTGTTATTTGTAAACTCAGGTTCCCTTTATCTAATATTAGGTTTTGGTTGAAGAACTGATAACATTCAGTATAAAAAATTTGCAAAAATAGAGAAACTCAGAAAGAGGGCAAATACTTTTTTACGGCACTGCACATTCTGCATTCTATTGATCTCAATATATTGAATTAAACATTTGTCCAGGTGAACATGATAAGAAACCTAAAAAGCCATGAGTTTGACTGCAAGCTACATACAGATGTGGGATCTTCATTTGATCAATCTGTTGTCGCTGACAATTTTCCTGCGCTGCAGGATTGACATAAATTCACTGAAAACAACTAACACACGATTATATTAACTGTATTTCACTGTAAAATAGCCTTATTTTGGCCAGCTAATAGCCTAACCACCGGTCAAAGCAACATTACATCGCGGAAAAGTGTGAATGGACTAAATATTCAAATCCTGTTGATGCAAGATTATTTTGCTGCGACAATACTGATTAAATTAAGATCCTACATCTCTAACAACCATTAAAAGGTGCAATATGCAGAAATCACTCCGCCATTTCCTGGTTGCTAAAATTCTAATAGTTCGCCTAATTTCAGTTTATGTGACAAAACACGTAGAGAATCATTGTACCATCTAAACCGCTGTGAAATAGATTTTCAATAGCCCAAAATATTGTTTTTTCAGCTGTTGGAAGCTGGTGTACAAAAACGAAAGTAAAAGATGCAAAAAAGAAACTTAAGAACGGGAAACATAGAAATAGCGCACATAGAACAGATCTACCGCTTCTTAGACTTGCTTTCAATGAGAATAACAGATCTATAACTCACATTTCTATGTGAATTTGGTTGGGTTGCCCAAAAGTTACATATTGCAGCTTTAACAGCCCATGCACAATTTTTTTTAAATATAACAATTGTATAAAAAGGAACATTGCTGGCTTTTAATACATTGAAAACAATTAACTTGTTTAATTCAACATCCAACTCATTATGCAACACCTTGTTGTACAGTACCATGACAGTAAATACATTATTTTTTAAGAATTCTCAAAAGCAGGATTTTCTCTTTCCCATAACGAGTTATAAATGTTGACGCTACCTGTGAAGGACCAGAAACAGGGGTTATTATTAAGCAACAGGCTTATACTATACTTTCAGTATACTTGTATACTATTACAATAGTACTACTACTTCTATAAGCCTAACACAGTCAGACATTATAGATTAAAGAAAGCTGGCGAGTTTAAAATAGTCTCCCACACAAGAAACTTCCTCTCCAAGCTCTGGTGCCATAGCCTGGTGACGAGGTTAAACATACAATATGGAATACAAGTCTTTAATCCACTTCTCTTACCATGCTTGCTGAGCTGCTTTCTGACCAGCATACCCAGTCCCAGCAGTAGTAACAGGCCAGCAGCAGAGGCAGCTCCCACCGCTGCGTAGACCAGCATCCCAGCGGACACTATAACACAACAACCACAGTCACTATCCCTGACTCTATAACACAACAACCAGTCACTATCCCTGACTCTATAGAACAACCAGTCACTATCCCTGACTCTATAAACAACACACCAGTCACTATCCCTGACTCTATAACACAACAACCAGTCACTATCCCTGACTCTATAACACAACAACCAGTCACTATCCCTGACTCTATAGAACAACCAGTCACTATCCCTGACTCTATAACACAACAACCAGTCACTATCCCTGACTCTATAACACAACAACCAGTCACTATCCCTGACTCTATAACACAACAACCAGTCACTATCCCTGACTCTATAACACAACAACCAGTCACTATCCCTGACTCTATAGAACAACCAGTCACTATCCCTGACTCTATAACACAACAACCAGTCACTATCCCTGACTCTATAAAAAAAGTAAACCCCCAAGAACAATAAAGGGGGGGGGTTCTAAAAACAAAACCATTCCCCCTATTGACTTATAGAAAAAAAACCAGTTTATATCCCTGATTATAAACACAAAAAAAAAAAAAAAAACCATTTACTAAAAACCCTTTCCTTAAACACAAAAAAAACCGTATATTTATTAAATAGAAAACCAGTCCTATCCCTACTCTTAACCAACAACCTCCTATCCCTGACTCTATAACACAACACCAGTCACTAAACCCTACTCATAACACACAACCATCACTATCCCTGACTTTTATAACACAACAAACCGTCACTATCTTTCCATAGAACAACCCTCACTACCCGACCTAAACACACAACCCTCACATTTGCTCATAAACAACCATCATATCCCCCACTCTATAGAACAAACCAATCACTATCCCTGCTCTATAACACAAAAACCTCACTATCCCTGACCTATAAACAAAACCCGTCACTATCCTTACCTATAAAAAACCAGATCCCCCTTTTTCCCTACCTATAAACAACCATCACTATCCCGACTCTATAAACCCCCAACCAGTCACTATCCCGGGCTCTATAAACAACCAGTCACTATCCCTGACTCTATAACACAACCGTCACTTCCGACCTATAAACAACCAGTCACTATCCCTGACTCTATAGAAAACCATCACTATCCCTGACTCTATAAAAAACAACCGTCACATCCCTGACCTATGAACAACCTCCTACCCTACTCTATAAAACAAACCGAGTCCTATCCCTGACTCTATAAACAAAAAAAGGGCCTTCCCTGACTCAAAGAACAAACCCAGTCACTATCCCTGACCTAAGAACAACCCGGGACTATCCCCGACTCATAGAAAAATCCTTCCCTGACTCTATAAAACCCCAAACCAAATCCCTATCCCCGATCTATAAACAACCCCAATCACTATCCCTGACTCTATAAAACAACCCAGTCACTATCCCGACTCTATAGAACAACCAGTCACTATCCCTGACTCTATAGAACAACCAGAGTCACTATCCCTGACTCTATAGAACAACCACAGTCACTATCCCTGACTCTATAGAACAACCAGTCACTATCCCTGACTCTATAGAACAACCACAGTCACTATCCCTGACTCTATAAAAACAACCATCACTACCCCGACTCATAAAAACCCAGTCCCATCCCCGACTCATAAAAAACCATCCATCCCCCCGACTCTTAGAACAACCAAGTCACTATCCCCCCGACTCTATAGAACAACCAGTCACTATCCTGACTCTAAAAACAACCCCGTCACTATCCCTGCCTATAAACAACCTCACTATCCCTGCCCCTATAGAACAACCAGTCCTATCCTGACTCTATAGAAAAACCCCAGTCAATCCCTGACTCATAGAAAAACCACAGTCACTATCCCCGACTCTATAGAACAAACCCTCACTATCCCTACCTAAGAAAAAACCCAGTCACTATCCCTGACTCTATAAAAACAAACCCTCACTATCCCTGACCATAGAACCACCAAGTCACTATCCCTGACTTATAGAACAACCCCGTCCCCACCCCGCTCTATAGAACAACCCCGTCACTATCCCTGACTCTAAGAACAAACCGTCACTATCCCCGACTCTATAAACACCAGTACTATCCCTGACTCTTAGAAAAACCAGTCACTTCCCTGACTCTAAGAACCACCAGTCACTATCCCTGACCATAGAAAAAAAACCCAGTCACTACCCTGACTCTATAGAAACCCACATCCATCCCTCTCTATAGAAAACCGAGTCACTATCCCCGACCCATAAAAAACCAAGGGCACTATCCCCCGACTCTATGAAAACCACAGTCACTTCCCCCGCCTATAAACAACCACAGTCACTATCCCTGACTCTTAGAACAAACCGTCACTATCCCGACTCTTAAACAACCAGTCACTATCCCTGCCCCAAGAAAAACAACCCGTCCCCTATCCCTCCTATAAACAACCATCACTTCCCTGTCTATAGAACAACACAGATCACTATCCCTGACTCTCATAGAACAACCAAGTCACTATCCCTGACTCTATAGAACAACCAGAGTCACTATCCCTGACTCATAGAACAACCACAGTCACTATCCCTGACTCTATAGAACAACCAGTCACTATCCCTGACTCTATAGAACAACCAGAGTCACTATCCCTGACTCTATAAACACCAAGTCACTATCCCGACTCTAACAACAACCAAGTCATATCCCTGACTCTATAGAACAAACCACAGTCACTATCCCTGACTCTATAGAACAAACCAGGTCACTATCCCTGACTCTATAGAACAACCAGTCACTCTCCCTGACTCTATAGAACAACCACAGGCACTATCCCCGGACTCTATAGAAAGCAACCAGTCACTATACCTGACTCTATAGAACAACCACAGTCACTATCCCTGACTCTATAACACAACAACCAGTCACTATCCCTGACTCTATAGAACAACCACAGTCACTATCCCTGACTCTATAGAACAACCACAGTCACTATCCCTGACTCTATAGAACAACCAGAGTCACTACCTGACTCTATAAGAACAACCAGTCACTATCCCTGACTCTATACAACAACCAGTCACTATCCCTGACTCTATAGAACAACCAGTCACTATCCCTGACTCTATAAACAACCAGTCACTATCCCTGACTCTATAGAACAACCACAGTCACTATCCCTGACTCTATAGAACAACCACAGTCACTATCCCTGACTCTTTAGAACAACCAGTCACTATCCCTGACTCTATAGAACAACCACAGTCACTATCCCTGACTCTATAGAACAACCAAGTCACTATCCCTGACTCTATAGAACAACCACAGTCACTATCCCTGACTCTATAGAACAACCAGTCACTATCCCTGACTCTATAGAACAAACCACAGTCACTATCCCTGACTCTATAGAACAACCACAGTCACTATCCCTGACTCTATAGAACAACCACAGTCACTATCCCTGACTCTATAGAACAACCACAGTCACTATCCCTGACTCTATAGAACAACCAGTCACTATCCCTGACTCTATAGAACAACCAGAGTCACTATCCCTGACTCTATAGAACAACCCAGTCACTATCCCTGACTCTATAGAACAACCACAGTCACTATCCCTGACTCTATAGAACAACCAGAGTCACTATCCCTGACTCTATAGAACAACCAGAGTCACTATCCCTGACTCTATAGAACAACCACAGTCACTATCCCTGACTCTATAGAACAACCACAGTCACTGTCCCTACTCTATAGAACAAACCCGTTACTATCCTGACTCTATAGAACAACCCAGTCACTATCCCTGACTCTATAGAACACCACAGTCACTATCCCTGACTCTATAGAACAACCACAGTCACTATCCCTGACTCTATAGAACAACCAGTCACTATCCCTGACTCTATAGAACAACCACAGTCACTATCCCTGACTCTATAGAACAACCACAGTCACTATCCCTGACTCTATAGAACAACCACAGTCACTATCCCTGACTCTATAGAACAACCACAGTCACTATCCCTGACTCTATAGAACAACCAGTCACTATCCCTGACTCTATAACACAACAAACCAGTCCACTATCCCTGACTCTATAAACAACCAGTTCACTATCCCTGACTCTATAGAACAACCAGTCACTATCCCTGATCTATAGGGAAACCAGAGTCACTATCCCTGGGACTCTATAGAACAACCACATTCACTATCCCTGACTCTATAGAACACCAGTCACTATCCCTGACTCTATAGAACAACCACAGTCACTATCCCTGACTCTATAGAACAACCACAGTCACTATCCCTGACTCTATAGAACAACCACAGTCACTATCCCTGACTCTATAGAACAACCCATCACTATCCCTGACTCTATAGAACAACCAGTCACTATCCCTGACTCTATAACACAACAACCAGTCACTATCCCTGACTCTATAGAACAACCAGTCACTATCCCTGACTCTATAGAACAACCAGTCACTATCCCTGACTCTATAGAAGAACCAGAGTCACTATCCCTGACTCTATAGAACAACCAGTCACTATCCCTGACTCTATAGAACAACCAGAGTCACTATCCCTGACTCTATAGAACAACCAAGTCCTATCCCTGACTCTATAGACATCAACCACAGTCACTATCCCTGACTCTATAGAACACCCAGTCACTATTTCCCGACTTATAGAACCACCATCACTATCCCCGACTCTTAAACAAACCCCTCACTATCCCTGCTCTATAAACAAACCCTCCTATCCCGCTCTATAGAAAACCAGTCCTATCCCTGACTCTATAAAAACCAAACCACTATCCCTACTCTATAGAACAACCCTCCTATCCCTGACTCATAAACAAACCCCAATCCAAACCCTGACTCTATAGAACAACCCCCGTCACTTCCCCCTAAAAAACAACCAGTCACTTCCCTGACTCTAAGAACAACCAGTCACTATCCCTGACTCTATAACAAAAGTCACTTCCCTGACTCATAGAAAAACCCATCACTTCCCTGACCTATAAACAACCATCACTATCCCCGCTCTATAGAACAACCCAGTCACTATCCCCGACTCTATAAAACACCCGTCCTATCCCTGACCTTTTTAAAAAAACCACAGTCCTATCCCGACTCTATAAACAACCCCCGTCACTATCCCTGCTCTATAGAACAAAACCCATCACTATCCCTGACCTTAGAACAACCCAGTCCCTTCCCGACTCTAAAAACCCCCAGTCACTATCCCTGACCTATAGAAAAACCAGTCACATCCCGACCAAAGAACAAAACCCGTCACATCCCCCCTTATAAACAACCAGTCACTATCCCTGACCTTAAAAAACCCCAGTCACTTCCCTGACTCTATAGAACAACCCGTCACCCCGTCAAACAACCCCGTCATTCCCTGAAATTATGCAACCAAGTTACCCTGATTAAAAAACCACGTATATCCCTGCTTAAAAAACCCCAAATCCAAAACCCGATCTAAAGACAAAAAATCCATCCCTGACCATGAAAAAACCCCCCGTTATTATTTTTTTAAACAAAACCCCGTCACTTCCCTGATCTTAGAACAACCAAGTCACTTCCCTGCCTTGAACAAACCCCGTCCCTTCCGTTTTAAAAAAAAACCCTTTCCTTTGACCAGAAACTCTATCATAAGAACAACCACGTCACTATCCTGACTCTATAGAACAACCACAGTCACTATCCCTGACTCTATAGAACAACCACAGTCACTATCCCTGACTCTATAGAACAACCACAGTCACTATCCCTGACTCTATAGAACAACCACAGTCACTATCCCTGACTCTATAGAACACCAAGTCACTATCCCTGACTCTATAGAACAACCACAGTCACTATCCCTGACTCTATAGAACAACCACAGTCACTATCCCTGACTCTATAGAACACCAAGTCACTATCCCCTGACTCTATAGAACAACCAGTCACTATCCCTGACTTTAGAACAACCACAGTCACTATCCCTGACTCTATAGAACAACCACAGTCACTATCCCTGACTCTATAGAACAACCAGAGTCACCACAGGGTCAGAACAGAGCAGATAAACCAAGATGTCACCCTGTAAGGATGATGTCACCCTGTAAGGATGATGTCACCCTGTAAGTATGGACACTATGCGGTAGGAGTCAAATGGCATTAAAAAAAACAAGTCGAAATCAGGATTTTATCTAATGTACTACTATTCAATTCAATTCAGTGTACATAATGTAAACAATATTGTATATAATATTTGATGTAAACAAATAGTCAGTAAAACCTTGGTCAGAGGTGATGTTTCTTTGGCAAGAGGGCACAAGGTCACTCCACTGTCCCTCTGAGGTGCAGGACAGCTCTTCTGTTCCGTTCAGATAGTAGCCTTTGCCGCAGGTGAAGAGGCACAGAGAGCTGAAGCTAAACTCCCCTAGGGGGTGTGAGCAGTTCATGGAGGGTCCCAGGGTTGGTGGCGGGGTTGAGGATGGAGTGGGTGGTGGAGATGGCGGTGGGGGCAATAGGTTCTCACACTGGACCACTGTAGGGGTTTGATCAATCAATCGATCAATCAATCAATCAATTCATTAATCATCTTTTTATATATATTTCCCTCACTCACCTTGGCAGGACGGTAAGTCTTGGCTCCAGACTCCCGATGCGTTGCAATGCATCGTGGGAGCTCCAGTTAGCCAGAATCCCTCATTGCATCGGAGGAGGCAGTGGGAGCTGTAACTGTAGGCAGAATAGGGGTGGGTGCAGTTCATCCAGCCTCTCCGTGGTTCCACCAGCAGGGGGCAGTGACGTACTGAGGAGCAGAGAAAAAACTCCATCAAGGGGGTAGGCAAGCACCGGTCCTGGAGTGCAGCGGGAACTTCATGTTTTTCATTTAACCGACCTGGAAGACCAGGCGTGTTGAATTTAGGCAATCACTGAACTGATCAATTAGCTCAGTTGGTCTGGTGTGGTGCGTAGTTGGGGGAAAATATCCTGCACAACCTGTGGCACTCCAGGAACAGGGATGCATACCCCTGTACCACATTCACATCCTGATCCAATGAAAGGGAACTAGTAACCAACGAATTACATTTAGAAAGTAACCTACCCAACCCTGGTAGTAGGGTACAGATAAGAGAAGATACTCTGAAGAGCAGAGAAACACACTACATTCACATCCTGATCCATAGAAAGCTAAATGAATACTAATGCTGTAAGTCACCAACCTCTGTAACGACAGATATCTTGACTAAATGTGCATATGAGAATAATCTGTCCCTATTATGTATTTAAAAAGCTTCATTATCGTCCCAGTAGATGAGGGTATGTCTCCAGCATGGTATGAAGATGTGGTGAGTTACCCAGACAGAGGGGGGCTCTCCTGCTCCATGTGCCCAGGGAGGTGCACTCTGTATCAGCCACTCCGTTCAGCAGGAACCCCTCCTCACAGGAGAACAGACACTGGGACCCGTAGTGGAACTGACCATGGAGGTCAGAGCAGTTCATGGAGCCATGTGGGGGAGCGGTTAAGGCGTCGCACTGCTGAGCTGGAGGAATATAAAGAGGACACAGGTTGTGACACACAGGCTCAACCTATTCCCATTATAATCACACATGTATTTATATTTCTTTGTTCCTATTATACTATGATATACTGTTTACATTACATTACATTTTAGTCATTTAGCAGACGCTCTTATCCAGAGCGACTTACAGTTAGTGAATACATTTTTTTTATTTTTATACTGGCCCCCCATGGGAAACGAACCCACAACCCTGGCGTTGCAAACGCCATGCTCTATCAACTGAGCTACATCCCTGCCGGCCATTCCCTCCCCTACCCTGGACGACGCTGGGCCAATTGTGCGCCGCCCATGAGTCTCCCGGTCGCGGCCGGCTGCGACAGAGCCTGGATTCGAACCAGGATCTCTAGTAGCACAGTTAGCACTGCGATGCAGTGCCTTAGACCACTGCGCCACTCACCCAGACAGAGGGGGGCTCTCCTGCTCCATGTGCCCAGGGAGGTGCACTCTGTATCAGCCACTCCGTTCAGCAGGAACCCCTCCTCACAGGAGAACAGACACTGGGACCCGTAGTGGAACTGACCATGGAGGTCAGAGCAGTTCATGGAGCCATGCGGGGGAGCGGTTAAGGCGTCGCACTGCTGAGCTGGAGGAATATAAAGAGGACACAGGTTGTGACACACAGGCTCAACCTATTCCCATTATAATCACACATGTATTTATATTTCTTTGTTCCTATTATACTATGATATACTGTTCCTAATCCTTCAGCTAACCACAATAGTTTAGGTTCTCCGTTCCAAACCCTTTGGATTTATTCAGTGAGGTGAAACAATTCAGAATGTTGCAGATAGAAATGAAGTGAATAGACCGGACACAGTTCCAAATCCTACATGACAATCACATCTGTTCTACACCACACATTTCTATCAGAACCCCCCTGGTCTTACCCTGACAGACAGGAAGGGCGTGGCTCCAGTAACCCAGTGAGGAGCAGTGGGTGGAGTTAGTTCCTACCAGAACAAAACCCTCCTCACACTCCAGGGCACAGGTGGAACCGTAGCTGAACTCCTCCACAGGGTTCCAGCAGTTCATGGAGGCGTGAGGGGGAGCGTTTATAGCGTCGCACTGCACCACTGCCACACACACAACCAATCAATGTGAAGGTTAGATCTCAACTTGTTTTACACATTTCACCAGATGGGCATATCCTTCATAATGTATTCTTTGTATAAATAATGGTCCTTATCACATTGAAACTCCCTCTAGTTGTTTTGGTATAGCTCACGTTCACATGCAGGTGTGCGGTTGGTCCATTGTCCAGTAGACAAACAGGTGAGGTTGGTGTCTCCTCTCAGCAGGTAGCCCTCCTCACAGGAGAACCCACAGGAGGAGGTGAAGGAGGAGGCCCCCAGGGGTTCCACGCAGGTCATGTTCCCCATGGCAGGAGGAGACAGGGGGCCACACCTCACCACTGTAGTAGGCAGGGTTGGGGAGTAACGGATTATATGTAATCAGTTAGATGTAATCGGATTATAAAAAAACAAAATTCTCAGTTACGTCACCAGCAAAAATATTGTAATCGGATTACAGACACTGTACTTTTGAAAAACAAGATGATTACATCTTGGATTACTTTAGAATTCATAAAAGATGTTTGCCAAAAAATACATTATGACACCTTTCTGTTTTTTCAATGACATTCAATTCAGCATTGAAAAAAGGCGCAAGTTTAAGTTTGTTTGTTCCAAATGAGCGAGTCTAAATACAAGTCAGAGACCTCTATGATGACACACCAAATGAGGACCACCAGTCAGAGACCTCTATGATGACACACCAAATGATGACCACCAATCAGAGACCACTATGATGACACACCAAATGATGACCACCAGTCAGAGACCACTATGATGACACACCAAATGATGACCACCCAATCAGAGACCTCTATGATGACACACAAATGATGACCACCAATCAGAGACCACATATGACACACCAAATGATGACCACCAATCAGAGACCACTATGATGACACACCAAATGATGACCACCATCAGAGACCACTATGATGACACACCAAATGATGACCACCAATCAAGGACCACTATGATGACACACCAAATGATGACCACCAATCAGAGACCTCTATGATGACACATCAAATGATGACCACCGATCAGAGACCACTATGATGACACATCAATGATGACCACCAATCAGAGACCCTATGATGACACACAAATGTGACACCAATCAAGACCACTATGATGACACACCAATTATGACACCAATCAGAGACCACTATGATGACACACCAAATGATGACCACCAATCAGAGCCTCTATGAATGACACACCAAATGATGACCACAATCAGAGACCACTATGATGACACACCAAATGATGACCACCAATCGAGACCACTATGATGACACCCAATGATGACACCAATCAGAGACCACTATGATGACCACACCAAATGATGACCCCCAATCAGAGACCACTATGATGACACACCAAATGATGACCACCAATCAGAGACCCTATGATGACACACCAAATGATGACCACCAATCAGAGACCACTATGATGACACACCAAATGATGACCACCAATCAGAGACCTCTATGATGACACACCAAATGATGACACCAATCAGAGACCACTATGATGACACACCAAATGATGACCACCAATCAGAGACCACTATGATGACACACCAAATGATGACCACCAATCAGAGACCTCTATGATGACACACCAAATGATGACCACCAATCAGAGACCACTATGATGACACACCAAATGATGACCACCAATCAGAGGCCACTATGATGACACACCAAATGATGACCACCAATCAGAGACGACTATGATGACACACCAAATGATGACCACCAATCAGAGACCACTATGATGACACACCAAATGATGACCACCAATCAGAGACCACTATGATGACACACCAGATGTGTTTGATGGATCCTTGTAGTCTTATTCTAATGCTCTCTTGGGGGAAAGTCATCTGATTACGTTACTGAGGTTGGGTAATCAAGAAGTTACATTACTGATTACAATTTTGTCCAGGTAACTAGTAACCAACAAATTACATTTAGAAAGTAACCTACCCAACCCTGGTAGTAGGGTACAGATAAGAGAAGATACTCTGAAGAGCAGAGAAACACACTACATTCACATCCTGATCCATAGAAAGCTAAATGAATACTAATGCTGTAAGTCACCAACCTCTGTAATGACAGATATCTTGACTAAATGTGCATATGAGAATAATCTGTCCCTATTATGTATTTAAAAAGCTTCATTATCGTCCCAGTAGATGAGGGTATGTCTCCAGCATGGTATGAAGATGTGGTGAGTTACCCAGACAGAGGGGGGCTCTCCTGCTCCATGTGCCCAGGGAGGTGCACTCTGTATCAGCCACTCCGTTCAGCGGGAACCCCTCCTCACAGGAGAACAGACACTGGGACCCGTAGTGGAACTGACCATGGAGGTCAGAGCAGTTCATGGAGCCATGCGGGGGAGCGGTTAAGGCGTCGCACTGCTGAGCTGGAGGAATATAAAGAGGACACAGGTTGTGACACACAGGCTCAACCTATTCCCATTATAATCACACATGTATTTATATTTCTTTGTTCCTATTATACTATGATATACTGCTCCTAATCCTTCTGCTAACCACAATAGTTTAGGTTCTCCGTTCCAAACCCTTTGGATTTATTCAGTGAGGTGAAACAATTCAGAATGTTGCAGATAGAAATGAAGTGAATAGACCGGACACAGTTCCAAATCCTACATGACAATCACATCTGTTCTACACCACACATTTCTATCAGAACACCGCTGGTCTTACCCTGACAGACAGGAAGGGCGTGGCTCCAGTAACCCAGTGAGGAGCAGTGGGTGGAGTTAGTTCCTACCAGAACAAAACCCTCCTCACACTCCAGGGCACAGGTGGAACCGTAGCTGAACTCCTCCACAGGGTTCCAGCAGTTCATGGAGGCGTGAGGGGGAGCGTTTATAGCGTCGCACTGCACCACTGCCACACACACACAACCAATCAATGTGAAGGTTAGATCTCAACTTGTTTTACACATTTCACCAGATGGGCATATCCTTCATAATGTATTCTTTGTATAAATAATGGTCCTTATCACATTGAAACTCCCTCTAGTTGTTTTGGTATAGCTCACGTTCACATGCAGGTGTGCGGTTGGTCCATTGTCCAGTAGACAAACAGGTGAGGTTGGTGTCTCCTCTCAGCAGGTAGCCCTCCTCACAGGAGAACCCACAGGAGGAGGTGAAGGAGGAGGCCCCCAGGGGTTCCACGCAGGTCATGTTCCCCATGGCAGGAGGGGACAGGGGGCCACACCTCACCACTGTAGTAGGCAGGGTTGGGGAGTAACGGATTATATGTAATCAGTTAGATGTAATCGGATTATAAAAAAACAAAATTCTCAGTTACGTCACAAGCAAAAATATTGTAATCGGATTACAGACACTGTACTTTTGAAAAACAAGATGATTACATCTTGGATTACTTTAGAATTCATAAAAGATGTTTGCCAAAAAATACATTATGACACCTTTCTGTTTTTTCAATGACATTCAATTCAGCATTGAAAAAAGGCGCAAGTTTAAGTTTGTTTGTTCCAAATGAGCGAGTCTAAATACAAGTCAGAGACCTCTATGATGACACACCAAATGATGACCACCAGTCAGAGACCTCTATGATGACACACCAAATGATGACCACCAATCAGAGACCACTATGATGACACACCAAATGATGACCACCAATCAGAGACCACTATGATGACACACCAAATGATGACCACCAATCAGAGACCACTATGATGACACACCAAATGATGACACCAATCAGAGACCACTATGATGACACACCAAATATGACACCAATCAGAGACCACTATGATGACACACCAAATGATGACCACCAATCAGAGACCTCTATGATGACACACCAAATGATGACCACCAATCAGAGACCACTATGATGACACACCAAATGATGACCACCAATCAGAGACCACTATGATGACACACCAAATGATGACACCAATCAGAGACCACTATGATGACACACCAAATGATGACACCAATCAGAGACCACTATGATGACACACCAAATGATGACCACCAATCAGAGACCACTATGATGACACACCAATGATGACCACCAATCAGAGACCTCTATGATGACACCCAAATGATGACCACCAATCAGAGACCACTATGATGGACACACCAAATGATGACCACAATCAGAGACCTCTTGATGACACACCAAATGATGACACCAATCAGAGACCACTAGATGAACCACCCAACATGATGACCACCAATCAGAGACCACTATGATGACACACCAAATGATGACCACCAATCAGAGACCACTATGATGACACACCAAATGATGACCACCAATCAGAGACCACTATGATGACACACCAAATGATGACCACCAATCAGAGACCTCTATGATGACACACCAAATGATGACCACCAATCAGAGACCACTATGATGACACACCAGATGTGTTTGATGGATCCTTGTAGTCTTATTCTAATGCTCTCTTGGGGGAACGTCATCTGATTACGTTACTGAGGTTGGGTAATCAAGAAGTTACATTACTGATTACAATTTTGTCCAGGTAACTAGTAACCAACAAATTACATTTAGAAAGTAACCTACCCAACCCTGGTAGTAGGGTACAGATAAGAGAAGAGAAGATACTCTGAAGAGCAGAGAAACACACTACATTCACATCCTGATCCATAGAAAGCTAAATGAATACTAATGCTGTAAGTCACCAACCTCTGTAACGACAGATATCTTGACTAAATGTGCATATGAGAATAATCTGTCCCTATTATGTATTTAAAAAGCTTCATTATCGTCCCAGTAGATGAGGGTATGTCTCCAGCATGGTATGAAGATGTGGTGAGTTACCCAGACAGAGGGGGGCTCTCCTGCTCCATGTGCCCAGGGAGGTGCACTCTGTATCAGCCACTCCGTTCAGCGGGAACCCCTCCTCACAGGAGAACAGACACTGGGACCCGTAGTGGAACTGACCATGGAGGTCAGAGCAGTTCATGGAGCCATGCGGGGGAGAGGTTAAGGCGTCGCACTGCTGAGCTGGAGGAATATAAAGAGGACACAGGTTGTGACACACAGGCTCAACCTATTCCCATTATAATCACACATGTATTTATATTGATTTGTTCCTATTATACTATGATATACTGTTCCTAATCCTTCAGCTAACCACAATAGTTTAGGTTCTCCGTTCCAAACCCTTTGGATTTATTCAGTGAGGTGAAACAATTCAGAATGTTGCAGATAGAAATGAAGTGAATAGATCGGACACAGTTCCAAATCCTACATGACAATCACATCTGTTCTACACCACACATTTCTATCAGAACCCCCCTGGTCTTACCCTGACAGACAGGAAGGGCGTGGCTCCAGTAACCCAGTGAGGAGCAGTGGGTGGAGTTAGTTCCTACCAGAACAAAACCCTCCTCACACTCCAGGGCACAGGTGGAACCGTAGCTGAACTCCTCCACAGGGTTCCAGCAGTTCATGGAGGCGTGAGGGGGAGCGTTTATAGCGTCGCACTGCACCACTGCCACACACACACAACCAATCAATGTGAAGGTTAGATCTCAACTTGTTTTACACATTTCACCAGATGGGCATATCCTTCATAATGTATTCTTTGTATAAATAAGGGTCCTTATCACATTGAAACTCCCTCTAGTTGTTTTGGTATAGCTCACGTTCACATGCAGGTGTGCGGTTGGTCCATTGTCCAGTAGACAAACAGGTGAGGTTGGTGTCTCCTCTCAGCAGGTAGCCCTCCTCACAGGAGAACCCACAGGAGGAGGTGAAGGAGGAGGCCCCCAGGGGTTCCACACAGGACATGTTCCCCATGGCAGGAGGGTTCAGGGGGGCACACCTCACCACTGTAGTAGGATACAGGTAAGATAATAGAATATTATTTTTGTTTTCCCCTGTTCAGACGTTGCTGACGCATGCCAGATCTTACAATGTAACAGCTAACCCAGTGCTTCCCAAACTTTTTCACTGATGTCCCCCTTTCATCGTTGGGAAACATCCCGCGCCATGGATTGGACAGAAAAAATCCACATTTTAAAGCTCATTTCCTTCAGTTCTACATATTATGCCATGTCTTGTGTGTTCATGCGATATCTGAGTGACTCAAACATTAAATGGGATTTTAAAAAAAACCTAGCTAGAAAACTTCAGCTGGCTTGGTCTTGTTGATCAACTGGACATTTCTGACAAGTTATAAACAGGAACCACTGAGCTAATGCTAAATGTTATATTATAGATAAATGTCACATATGTTATAGCAATCTGATGCCTTGACGGCACGGTCGAAGACGTGGCACACAACCATTGGTTGATGAGATGATTGTCTGAGCAGGGGAACACGACCAAGGTAAGATGAGATTTATAGTCTGTTTCCACAGAACATTCACACAACGTCCACAGAAGGCACTGAGTTTATCAAGGCCAGTAGTCTTCCATAAGCTGATAATGTACCATAGGTTGATACAAGCGTTGATCAAAGTATGTCATAAGTATTCATAACCATAGATATACAGTGCGTTCGGAAAGTATTCAGACCCCTTGACTTTTTCCACATTTTGTTATGTTACAGCCTTATTCTAAAATTGATTAAATTGTTTTTTCCACTCATCAATCTACACACAATACCCCATAATGTCAAAGTAAAACCATATTTTTAGAAATGTTTGCTAATTTATAAAAAAAAACATAAAGAATATATCACATTTACAGAAGTATTCAGACCCTTTACTCAGTACGTTGTTGAAGCACCTTTGGCAGTGATTACAACATCGAGTCTTCTTGGGTAAGACATGTTGCTGCACAGCTATTTTCAGGTCTCTCCAGAGATGTTAGATCGGGTTCAAGTCCGGGCTCTGGCTGGGCCGTTTTTTTTTTCGTGGCCCCCCCCACCCCCATCAAATTAGCCTGTCCCTGCTCTGTAGAGATGAGGCAACAATGATGATTGTAGAAGCTGTAGATCAGAGGTAGTTCCTGGAGTGCAGTAAGATATGGTCCCAACAACGCTCCGCACTGATGTCACACCCTGATCTGTTTCACCTGTCTTTGTGCTTGTCTCCACCCCCCCCTCCAGGTGTCGCCCATCTTCCCCCATTATCCCCAGTGTATTTATACCTGTGTTCTCTGTTCGTCTGTTGCCAGTTCGTTTTGTTTCGTCAAGCCTACCAGCAGGTTTTCCCCCCTTGCGCCTGTCTTTCTCAAGTTCCTGTTTTCTAGTTTTCCCGGTTTTGACCATTCTGCCTGCCCTGACCCTGAGCCTGCCTGCCGTTCTGTACGGTTGGACTCTGTTCTGGATGACTGACCTCTGACCTGCACTTGACCTGTCGTTTGCATGCCCCCTGTTTTTAAAATAAACTTCTGTTACTTCGACACTGTCTGCATCTGGGTCTTCTCCTGAAACGTGATAACTGAGCTACTTAGTTAATTCATCAGTTCAGTGATGGCTTGATTCAAAACACCTGGTCTTCCAGGTTCGTACCGGGATTGCTTACCCCTGCTGTAGATGATAAACCTCTGTAGATGGCAAAGTAGTTTTTAGAAGATGGCAGGGGCGCTGATGCCATCTACTCAAAAACCAGTCGTCCCAGTTCCCTTGTTGTTCACTCTGATTATCTAAGCACTCGATTCTTCTGTAGTAGTAAATATATACTTTACAACTGTGTTTGCCAGTAAGTTATCAATGTTCAATATTTCTAGCTTTCTTCTAGGTTTCTTTCTGCTTCACAGTAGAAGTCTTCACGGGTCCAACAGCCCCTAAAATTCTGAGCAGGTCTGGGTCCTAAATTCTGACACTGCGCCTTTACAACTCCTGTATTAGCTGACCGATATAGCAGAGCCGGATTATTAGTGCACTGGGCCTTTACTACTCCTGTAATCAGGGCTGGTCCTGGCCACAGACTCTTTCTACCATATCCTATATCTGCTACATGATTTATGTTAGATGTTTTTGGGGGGACAGAACGTTGGTGGAGCATGGTAGCAATGTGTCTCTCCAATAGCACCCTGGAGAGGCGCGCTGGGAATGGACAAGCGACAGCAAAGGGCATTCAGACTCAGGGGGTCGCCAACAAACTCCCAACCCATACAACATTTTTACATTTACATTTTAGTCATTTAGCAGACGCTCTTATCCAGAGCGACTTACAGTTAGTGAGTGCATACATACTTTTTTTATTTTTCATACCCCCATGGGATTCGAACCCACAACCCTGGCGTTGCAAACGCCATGCTCTACCAACTGAGCTACATCCATGCCGGCCATTCCCTCCCCTACCCTGGACGACGCTGGGCCAATTGTGCGCCGCCCCATGGGTCTCCCGGTCACGGCCGGCTACGACAGAGCCTGGATTCTAACCCGGATCTCTAGTGGCACAGCTAGCAATACAATGTAATGTAAAGAAGTTAGGGACTGTCTTTAGTTTTTGTTTTTTTTATGTTAGGGACTGTCATAAATAGCATGGGCTACATATGGTTGACAACATGGCTGACAACATGGCTTCAGATAAAGTGGGGCTCAATCAGAGAAAATGATTTTTGGTCACCACGGTAACAGCCAGGGTTCAGTGTTCTGTGTTCTGTGGTCAGAACAGGATGTTACAGCAAAAGTGACAGTTGGAAAGTATTTCATCAAGGTCACATTTCACAAAGAACACAACTATTTCACAGTTGAACATTTTAAATAGTGGAGATGAACAGTTGGGTGCGGTCAGGTCAAGGACTGGGAGGAACCACAGTACCTTTGTTGCACTTCTTGATTTACTATCACATTGTCATTTCTTTTCACTTTGACCTGACATTCAACAGGTGTATTAGTTGCTACTATCCCATGGTGACAGTGATAAATACCTGTGCAGGTGGAGACGTTGCCTGTCCACTGTCCTGTGTGGTCACACTGAATCATGTCTGGTCCTATTAGGTCAAACCCCAAATCACAGCTGAATTCACAGGTGGAGTTGTAACTGTGCAGGGCGATGGGGTCACTGCAGTTCATAGTCCCTCTATGAGGACCACTGTCCAGCGCTGGACACTGTTTGACTGAAGGGGGCAGTAAGAAAAATGTTGTTTAAACTCAATGAGGGAACAAAAATCTATGTCTCAAGCCTAAAATGCTGGTTTGTGAGCAGCCTCAACACAACGTTATGTGAGCAGCCTCAACACAACGTTATGTGAGCAGCCTCAACACAACGTTATGTGAATTTGAATTAGGCAGGTAGCCCTCTGTTTTAATAAGGAGGCGGGACCCCATAGCGTTAGCTTTAGGAACGTCTTTAGTAAGATAAACCGGACATAGTTGCAGAGGCATTATGGGTACTGTAGTACCCTCCTGCTCTCCCATACCTTGGCACTGAGTGGCAGGGTGGTCCCAGAGCCCTGTGGCCTGGCAGAGCAGTTGTGGTGCCCCCAGCAGCTGGTATCCCCGGGCACAGTGGAACTGACAAGAGGAGTTGAAGGCAAACGGCCCATGAGGATGGTCACAGTTCACTGAACCCTGCTCTGGGTCCGACACAGCGTCACACTCTACGGCTGACAGAGAGAGGCAGAGAGACTAGATTATCAATGACAGCAAACAAACATACTGCACACTAACACGTCATCGAAGCTGAACTCAGTTAACTGTTTTGGTTCACCTCTATACAGAAAACCAGGTATTATTCCCATGGATGAATAAGAATGGTTCAGACCTTATGGATGCATCGTACAGGTTAGCTCACCTTCCTGGCACCGGGGGCCCTTGAAGCCAGGGTCACACTGGCAGGTGTAGTCCCCTATGTTCTCTAAACACTCTGCATGGGTGCTACAGCAATGCTGTGAGCAAGACGCTACACAAACAGGGTAGTAGACAAATAGAGGATTTAAAGAAACTACACACACACACACACACACACACACACACACACACACACACACTCGTCTACCTGTGTAGCAGAGGGCTCCCTTCTTTTTTGTGCATCTCTCATCGTTCCACTTGGCTTCATCCTTTCCTCTTTTGATGTAGATCTCCACACAATCCTGTCCGTCCCCGACGTTGTTGGGCTCCCCGGTGGCCCAGTTCTCTGCCTCTTTGGTCAGGGTCTTGTTGGTGCCCATCCAGGTCCACACCTCATTCACCTGATTGATTGACGGAATGTATTTATTCAATAATACAAAAAAAATATATATATATATATATGCAACCACAGTATAAATGAAATAGCGATGCATTCAAAAAACAATAGAAATGTACATTAATAAGTCAGCGACACATTTCTGCTAGATGGACCTCTTGTGGCAAGACATACAGACGATCTGGCGGTCTACAGTACACTCCTGTTGATAAAGTAACAGATGAAGGAACCCAACCTTGCGGAGGCCGATCCAGTAGTATTGTGAGTTCTTAGGGAGCATGTTGTTGAGATAGACTATTTCCTCCTGGTTCTGGATGGCCACCATGTCTGTGTAGTGCTGCCTGCACCACTGGCGGGCTGAATCCCACTCCAGATTCGGGTTGGTACTGTAGTTGTAGGTCCAAGCCTGGACACCTCCTATCTCACTGGTCAGTAGGTCTCAGGGTAATAAAAACAGAGTCAACACTTTCCATTAAAGGTGCAATCTGCTGTTGCTACATTTATTTTTGGTACTTTCAGATTAATGATATATACTCATTGATTCCTGAAGAATATATTTTATAAATCCCTCATGAGCTTAGTGCACTTTTAAGTTGCTCTTATACCTGCGTAGCAACGCTGTAACTAGTAACATTGCACTTTAGTAATTCCTTGCTTGATTTGAGTGGTTTTGGTTATTAAAAGAAAAGAGAACATTTCTGTCTGATAGTCAGGCAGTTGTAAACATCAGGTTGCTCTGTCTTACCGTGGTAGATTGTGATCAATAGAGTCACCAGCAACCTATTATATAGGCTCTGTCTGAGATAGTTTGACCACTGAAGCATCTGAAAGACATAAAAATATATAAACTCTAACAATAATCAAATTGGATTGTACAATTTGACTGAACGTTATGATACAGTAATGCATAATAATTTGCAATAGTACAGGAATAATCATTAAAAAAAACCTACCTCTTCGTCAAGATTGGGGAGATAAAATGTGCTGTTTTCATGACATCACACCCATCCAAATGGACTGTGTAAGAGGTGCAATTTCCTTTCAGAGTGAGTCTTCACTATACTGTGCAATGTGCAGCATTTACTAATCTGATGATCAAACTGTCTGCGCGCTGTCTACTGTGAAAAGTGGTCTTATCACGGTTGAGGTGTTGTAGCCATTTCCTGCAGTGCCCTCTAGAGTCCTCATGGGTGGAATGTTATTAATATATTCTTCATTATTTCATCATTAATAAACAAACAAACAAAAAATGTCAAACGGTTTTGTTATATTTCAGTCTTCTGTGATGTACACTACCGGTCAAAAGTTTTAGAACACATATTCATTCAAGTTTTTTTTTTTTTTTTTTTTTTTTTACTATTTTCTACATTGTAGAATAATAGTGAAGATATCAAAACTATGAAATAACACATATGGAATCATGTAGTAACCAAAAAAGTGTTAAACAAATCTAAACATATTTGAGATTTGAGATTCTTCAAATAGCCACCCTTTGCCTTGATGACAGCTTTGCACACTCTTGGCATTCTCTCAACCAGCTTCATGAGGTAGTCACCTGGAATGCATTTCAATTAACAGGTGTGCCTTCTTAAAAGGTAATTTGTGGAAGTTCTTTCCATCTTAATGCGTTTGAGCCAATCAGTTGTGTTGTGACAAGGTAGGGGTGTATACAGAAGATAGCCCTATTTGGTAAAAGACCAAGTCCATATTATGGCAAGAACAGCTCAAATAAGCAAAGAGAAACAACAGTCCATCATTACTTTAAGACATGAAGATCAGTCAATACGGAACATTTCAAGAACTTTGAAAGTTTCTTCAAGTGCAATCGCAAAAACCATCAAGTGCTATGATGAAACTGGCTCTCATGAGGACCGCCACAGGAATGGAAGACCCAGAGTTACCTCTGCTGCAGAGGATAAGTTCATTAGAGTTACCAGCCTCAGAAATTGCAGCCCAAATAAATTTTTCACAGAGTTCAAGTCACAGACACATCTCAACATCAACTGTTCAGAGGAGACTGTGTGAATCAGGCCTTCATGGTGGAATTGCTGCAAAGACACCAATAATAAGAAGAAACTTGCTTGAGCCAAGAAACACGAGCAATGGGCATTAGACCGGTGGAAATTTGTCCTTTGGTCTGGAGTCCAAATTGGAGATTTTTGTGTCCGCTGTGTCTTTGTGAGACATGGTGTGGGTGAACGGATGATCTCCGCATGTGTATTTCCCAACGTAAAGCATGGAGGAGGAGGTGTTATGGTGTGGGGGTGCTTTGCTGGTGACACTGTCTGTGATTTATTTAGAATTCAAGGCACACTTAACCAGCATAGCTACCACAGCATTCTGTAGCGATACGCCATCCCATCTGGTTTGGGCTTAGTGGGACTATCATTTGTTTTTCAACAGGACAATGACCCAACACACCTCCAGGCTGTGTAAGGGCTATTTTACCAAGAAGAAGAGTGATTGAGTGCTGCATCAGATGACCTGGCCTCCACAATCCCCCGACCTCAACTAAATTGAGATGGTTTGGGATGAGTCGGACCGCATAGTGAAGGAAAAGGAGCCAACAAGTGCTCAGCATATGTGGGAACTCCTTCAAGACTGTTGGAAAAGCATTCCAGGTGAAGCTGGTTGAGAGAATGCCAAGAGTGTGCAAAGCTGTCATCAAGGCAAAGGGTGGCTATTTGAAGAATCTCAAATATGAAATATATTTTGATTTGTTTAACACTTTTTTGGTTGCTACATGATTCCATGTGTTATTTCATAGTTTTGATGTCTTCACTATTATTCTACAATGCAGAAAATAGTAAAAATTAAGAAAAACCGTTGAATGAGTAGGTGTTCTAAAACTTTTGACCGGTAGTGTATACAGTGGGGAGAACAAGTATTTGATACACTGCAGATTTTGCAGGTTTTCCTACTTACAAAGCATGTAGAGGTCTGTAATTTTTATCATAGGTACACTTCAACTGTGAGAGACGGAATCTAAAACAAAAATCCCGAAAATCACATTGTATGATTTTTAAGTCATTCATTTGCATTTTATTGCATGACATAAGTATTTGATCACCTACCAACCAGTAAGAATTCCGGCTCTCACAGACCTGTTAGTTGTTCTTTAAGAAGCCCTCCTGTTCTCCACTCATTACCTGTATTAACTGCACCTGTTTGAACTCGTTACCTGTATAAAAGACACCTGTCCACACACTCAATCAAACAGACTCCAACTTCTCCACAATGGCCAAGACCAGAGAGCTGTGTAAGGACATCAGGGATAAAATTGTAGACCTGCACAAGGCTGGGATGGGGTACAGGACAATAAGCAAGCAGCTTGGTGAGAAGGCAACAACTGTTGGCGCAATTATTAGAAAATGGAAGAAGTTCAAGATGACGGTCAATCACCCTCGGTCTGGGGCTCCATGCAAGATCTCACCTCGTGGGGCATCAATGATCATGAGGAAGGTGAGTGATCAGCCCAGAACTACACGGCAGGACCTGGTCAATGACCTGAAGAGAGCTGGGACCACAGTCTCAAAGAAAACCATTAGTAACACACTACGCCGTCATGGATTAAAATCCTGCAGCGCACGCAAGGTCCCCCTGCTCAAGCCAGCGCATGTCCAGGCCCGTCTGACGTTTGCCAATGACCATCTGGATGATCCAGAGGAGGAATGGGAGAAGGTCATGTGGTCTGATGAGACAAAAATAGAGCTTTTTGGTCTAAACTCCACTCGCCATGTTTGGAGGAAGAAGAAGAATGAGTACAACCCCAAGAACACCATCCCAACCGTGAAGCATGGAGGTGGAAACATCATTCTTTGGGGATGCTTTTCTGCAAAGGGGACAGGATGACTGCACCATATTGAGGGGAGGATGGATGGGGCCATGTATCGCGAGATCTTGGCCAACAACCTCCTTCTCTCAGTAAGAGCATTGAAGATGGGTCGTGGCTGGGTTTTCCAGCATGACAACGACCCGAAACACACAGCCAGGGCAACTAAGGAGTGGCTCCGTAAGAAGCATCTCAAGGTCCTGGAGTGGCCTAGCCAGTCTCCAGACCTGAACCCAATAGAAAATCTTTGGAGGGAGCTGAAAGTCTGTATTGCCCAGCGACAGCCCCGAAACCTGAAGGATCTGGAGAAGGTCTGTATGGAGGAGTGGGCCAAAATCCCTGCTGCAGTGTGTGCAAACCTGGTCAAGACCTACAGGAAACGTATGATCTCTGTAATTGCAAACAAAGGTTTCTGTACCAAATATTAAGTTCTGCTTTTCTGATGTATCAAATACTTACGTCATGCAATAAAATGCAAATGAATGACTTAAAAATCATACAATGTGATTTTCGGGATTTTTGTTTTAGATTCCGTCTCTCACAGTTGAAGTGTACCTATGATAAAAATTACAGACCTCTACATGCTTTGTAAGTAGGAAAACCTGCAAAATCTGCAGTGTATCAAATACTTGTTCTCCCCACTGTATAAAGCCCATAACATACCTGTGTGTAAGGTGTATACTTTTGTTTCAAAGTAGATTTGTTTAAGACTAGCAAGAAACACTGATTTAGCCCACTGCAGTAAAAGGTTAAGAAAAAAAATGTGGGACTGTGACTTCCTTTGGAATTTATAGGAACACATACACACTCATGCCCAGCGCTTGAAGTGGAAAGAAAAAGGTGTTGTTCCCACGCACGCTGATTTACCCCATATACACTCTGAACCCCAAAAATCAAGTGAGCTAAAATAGTTTTATTTACTTTTCTTACACAAAAGATGTTGAACATGTAGAATTCACATAACATACAGTAACAATAACGATTTACAAACATCCTGTGTTTGACGTGGACTAATATAATAGGTCGATTATGACATCATTCATGAAGTCTCAGCGGTCCATCAGATGTCCCCATTGGATGACGTCACACCCTCCTCTGGTTCCCTTCAGGATAAGAGTAAAATACAAGATATCAATCAAAAACAACAACAACATACTATTACTGCACTTACCAAGTACATGGCCTGGGTGAGAAGCCAGCATCCCACTCATACCTTAGTTGGGCATGCTTCTTTCCTGAAGAAAATATCAAAAGAGAAAAAAAAATATGCTAAAACTAATTCTTGAATTGCTTGAAATGCTGTCCCTTGACTTTTGCACCACGTAAAAACAAGTTTTAAAAATACTTTTACCCCTTTTCTCCCCAATTTCATGATATCCAATTGTTAGTTACGGTCTTGTCCCATCGCTGCAACACCCATATGAACTCGGGAGAGGCAAAGGTCAAGAGCCATGCATCCTCCGAAACACGACCCTGCCCAGCCGCACTGCTCGCTTAACCCGGAAGCCAGCCGCACCAATGTGTCGGAGGAAACACCATCCAACCAGCGACCGAAGTCAGCTTGCAGGCACCCGGGCCCACCACAAGGAGTCGCTAAAGCACGATGGGACAAGGAAATCCCGGCCGGCCAAACCCTCCCCTAACCCGGACAACGCTGGGCCAATTGTGCGCCGCCTCATGGGTCTCCCGGTCATGACAAATAATTGTATAAGAAAGTTTAATAAGAAAACACGTGTAGCTAAGTCCTTTATACTGCAGCACATCTATGGGTATGCATTGTAAAAACTACTGGGGGATAGCAAATTGGCTTGTCCCGCTGGTGATGTGTAGAGGTGTAGTGACATGTTTTGGGGATTTAGAGATATCTGTATCTATCTAATATATTGTATAGATCAATAAAAACAAAGAAGACTATTTAAATACTTTTACAAAAAAAAACTATTATAATGTGTGTCCCTCAGTTTTATGTCATTGGTGTTTCCGCCTTGAAAATCACTGATTAAAAAGATATACTAGGACCCTGAGCATTCTTTCCAGTGGCAAACTGTTATTGGGGGAGGAGTCTATATTAAAGAACGTTATTAGCTAATCACACCCTTTTAGTATGTCATCAATTTGAAGATTCCATTGATTCTGTGTGGCACGGTTGGTAGAGCATGGCGCTTGCAACGCCAGGGTTGTGGGTTTGATTCCCAAGGGGGACCAGTATGAAAATATATGCATGCACTACTGTAAGTCACTCTGGATAAGAGTGTCTGCTAAATGACTAAAATGTAAGATGACAATTTGGTATGTCTAAATCAAAGGTGTTAGTCAATTTTAAATGAAGGGAAATAACATTGTGAGCAAAATGATTAATCATATCACTTTAGTAAAGGATTGATGACCTTAGATTTTAGCATTTGTGGCTTCCATTTCAGAAAGTCCTCATTTAGCTAAAATGTCTCATTGGTGTTACCATCATCTCATTGGTGTTACCATCATCTCATTGGTGTTACCATCATTGGTGTTACCATCATCTCATTGGTGTTACCATCATCTCATTGGTGTCACCATCATTGGTGTTACCATCATTGGTGTTACCATCATCTCATTGGTGTTACCATCATCTCATTGGTGTTACCATCATTGGTGTTACCATCATTGGTGTTACTACTCCTACTAGTGCCACAATTTTATCTTAATGGTAAAAAATATTTTAAGTCATTAAGCTGCCATATAAATGTATTTAGAATGGGAAGATGTACCCTAATACATTTAAAGAAAAATACATCTAGATAAATTAAGTTAATTTTTTTCAAAATGCCACCGTAATTCAAGAACGACCCATTCTATACAGAGTATTCCAAAATACTTGATCTCTCTTTTTTTTTCTTTTTTTATAATCAACTGGAACTTACTTTTTCTGTGATTGAAACAACAGCAGATGCAGCAGGACATTGAGAGCATCGAACCAGCAGCTACAACCATTAGGACATGCTGATAACCTGAGGAAACACACAGTCAACCAGCAGCTACAGTCCAACATGGTACTGCATGTGGAAATGACCCAGTTGCAGTGTTGATGGGTTACCCCCCCCCCCCTACAGTAATAATGCAGTATATACAGTATATCAAACTCCAAACAGCCTGCCTTGACTTGCATTATTTAGTAACTTTATGTGGACAGGGTCAATGTATGTACAACAAAAAGACAAGTCTCAATATACTGAGCAGTGATGCGTTGCACAAGATTTAGCTAACAATTAATTTCCATCTGCAGCCCCCCCGTGGGGGGCCTCACTTCCTCTGAGACACCAGAGGTGTAGCTAGCTAGCCTAGCAACCATAACTTTGTTCTGTAACCCGTACGTGATGAGAGATGGTATCGGGGATTTAATTACTTGCACAAACTGGCCTCCGTCCGCTCCATAACCAGATCCTGCTCCAGACGTCGTCGCCGCGGACCCCAGTCCAGACCCTGTCCATGCTACAGCTGACCTCTGGTAATCCCAGCAGTAGACTCCCCTTCTCACAGCTCAACCGGCAGGTAGAGTTCACAGTAAGGTCGACAGCAGAGCAGTTCACAAACCCATCAGGTAGACAGAAAGGGTCACATCCCTTAGCTTTAGGGGCAAAGACAGGTTTCAGCACAACAGTGGGGGACATTAGGGGCCTGTCATAATGACTGATGCATAAATTAAGTACTACGCAGGAAATTGGGGAATGCAGATGTTGTAGCCATAGTGACCCTCATTAGAAAAGGTCATAGGTTAAAGGAGAGGTGAGTGTGACACGGTGGGAACAGCAGCTTCCCAGATTCCCCTTACCTGTTTGGCACCCGTGTCCCTCAAACCCAGGTTCACACACACAGGTAAAGTTGTTGATGGTCTCCAAGCATCTCCCTTGTCCCTTGCATGATGTTTGGTTGCACTGCTCTGTTACAGAAATATACATACTGTAATATGTGTCACAATCTCAACACAGCGTTCATCTAATGATTTACTGGTGGCCTTTAAAAAAACTACAACAATGGTTGAGTCCCTCACCTCTGTAGCACAGCGAGTATTTGAGATTTGAGCACTTGTCATCGTTCCACTTCCCGTGATTCTCGCTGTTCCCTTTGTTGACGTACATCTCACGCACTCCTCACCCAGTATGTTATTGGGTTCGTTGGGTGCCCAGGAATAATTCCCAACCCACGTTCCATTGGTTCCGATCCATGTCCAGCTTTCATTGATCTTCGTGATTCCGATCCAGTAATATGGAGACCCGGTTCTATCGGGCAAGACGTCGCGGAGGTAATTATTCTCTTCCTGGTTTTGGATGGCCATCATGTCTGTGTGGTTGTTCATACGACACCACTCTCTTGCCATGGTCCAGTTCATGGTCTTTTCGGAGTAATGATATGTCCAGGCCATGGCACGTCCTCCACACGTACCTAGGACTATGATCAGCATCCACATCGTTGTTACAAGCTGTGGCTGTCTGAAGGAGGGTCCATAGACTGCCTGTTGTACGTCCATAAAGAACAGTAAAAATCACAAACTGTGGTCATCTAGACATAATTCGATCTACAATACAACAGTGAATGGAAAGGACAGCCGATGTAAGCGAGAGCAAGAAAGAGCTCCCATCTCATACTTACCATGTGTCGGTCTCCTGCTCTGGCACTCAGGCTGTGGTGTTGGGCTAACCTGGGTTTGGAATGGAGCTCAGTTTGGCTTTCATAACAATTTGGCAAAGTCTCCTATATTGATTCCTATCTGCAATCAATGTACCACATGGAGTCCTTATACCATTGATTCCCAAAATAACATAGAATACCCGGATGCTTTATCATTCACTATAATGTTTATTTTAAATTACAGTGAATGGGGTATGATTGATGACTGACTGAATGACTGTTAGTAGCAATAGTTCTGGGAAGTGCAAGGCATTCCAGGTAGAGTTTTGTTTTACTTGCCCCAGTTTCAGGAAATTAAAGTGAGATCTGTTTCCGGTATGGCTATAGCACTGCCCTCGATCGCATGGCGCTACAGCGGGTTGTACGGACAGCGCAGTACATCACTGGGTCCGAGCTCCCTGCCATCCAGGACCTCAATATCAGGCGTTGTGAAAAGAAGGCCTGGAAAACCATCCAAGCCATAGACTATTTTCTCTGCTGCCCTCACGGCAAGAGGTACCAGTGCATCAAGTCTGACACCAAAAGGCTCTCGAAACAGCTTCTATCCCCAAGCAATACGACTGATAAATAGCTAACAAAATAGCTACACGGACTATCTGAGTTAACCATGTATCTTTATTGACCTTTTTATTTCTATCTTTGCACTGTCTCTATGCACACTCACAGGGCCCTACACACTCACACACACTGTCACTCCAACACACACACAAACACTACATCATTGCTCACATACAGTACAAGCTGCTGCTACTCTGTTTATCTTATATCCTGTTGCCTAGTTCCCTTACCCCTATACATACAGTTGAATTCTGAAGTTTACATGCACCTTAGCCAAATACATTTAAACTCAGTTTTTCACAATTCCTGTCATTTTAATCCTTGTAAAAAATTCCCTGTTTTAGGTCAGTTAGGATCACCACTTTATTTTAAGAATGTGAAATGTCAGAATAATAGTAGAGAGAATTATTTCTTTCAGCTTTTATTTCTTTCATCACATTCCCAGTGGGTCAGAAGTTTACATACACTCAATTAGTATTTTGTAGCATTGCCTTTAAATTGTTTAACTTGGGTCAAACGTTTCGGGTAGCCTTCCACAAGCGTCCCACAATAAGTTGCATGAATTTTGGCCCATTCCTCCTGACAGAGCTGGTGTAACTGAGTCAGGTTTGTAGGCCTCCTTGCTCGCACACGCTTTTTCAGTTCTGCCCACAAATGTTCTATAGGATTGAGGTCAGGGCTTTGTGATGGCCACTCCAATACCTTGACTTTGTTGTCCTTAATCCATTTTGCCACAACTTTGGAAGTATGCTTGGGGTCATTGTCCATTTGGAAGACCCATTTGTGACCAAGCTTCAACTTCCTGACTGATGTCTTGAGATGTTGCTTCAATATATCCACATAATTTTCCTTCCTCATGATGCCATCTATTTTGTGAAGTGCACCAGTCCCTCCTGCAGCAAAGCACCCCCACAGCATGATGCTGCCACCCCTGTGCTTCACGGTTGGGAAGGTGTTCTTCGGCTTGCAAGCAACCCCCTTTTTCCTCCAAACATAACAATGGTCATTATGGCCAAACAGTTATATTTTTGTTTCATCAGACCAGAGGACATTTCTCCAAAAAGTACGATCTTTGTCCCCATGTGCAGTTGCAAACCGTAGTCTGGCTTTTTTATGGCGGTTTTGGAGCATTGGCTTCTTCCTTGCTGAGCGGCCTTTCAGGTTATGTCAATATAGGACTCGTTTTACTGTGGATATAGATACTTTTGTACCTGTTTCCTCCAGCATCTTCACAAGGTCCTTTGCTGTTGTTCTGGGATTGATTTCCACTTTTCGCACCAAAGTACGTTCATCTCTAGGAGACAGAACGCGTCTCCTTCCTGAGCGGTATGACGGCTGCGTGGTCCCATGGTGTTTATACTTGCGTACTATTATTTGTACAGATGAACGTGGTACCTTCAGGCATTTGGAAATTGCTCCCAAGGATGAACCAGACTTGTGGAGGTCTGCAATTTTTCTTCTGAGGTCTTGGCTGATTTCTTTTGATTTCCCCATGATGTCAAGCAAAGAGGCACTGAGTTTGAAGGTAGGCCTTGAAATACATCCACAGGTACACCTCCAATTGACTCAAATTATGTCAATTAGCCTATCAGAAGCTTCTGAAGCCATGACATCATTTTCTGGAATTTTCCCCAAGCTGTTTAAAGGAATTTTCCAAGCTGTTTATGTTAACTTAGTGTATGTAAACTTCTGACCCACTGGAATTGTGATACAGTGAATTATAAGTGAAATAATCTGTCTGTATACAATTGCTGGAAAAATTACTTGTGTCATGCACAAAGTAGATGTCCTAACCGACTTGCCAAAACTATCGTTTGTTAACAAGAAATTTGTGGAGTGGTTGAAAAACGAGTTTTAATGACTCCGACCTAAGTGTATGTAAACTTCTGACTTCAACTGTATCTACCTCCATCACTCCAGTATCCCTGTACATGTAAATAATATTTGGTATGGGTATTGGAACTGACTTTCTAAATATTTCCTGTATATAGTATGCTTACTTACTTACTTTATTGTGTATTTCATATTTCCTATTCTTATTTCTTGTGTGTTTTTTTTGTAGTAATACATTGTTATTGATTACTGCATTGTGGGTTTTGAGTTTGCAAGAAAGGCATTTCACTGTACTTGTGTATGTGACATTAATACTTGAAACTTGAAAGGTAAGCTAAATATGAGATCTGTTTCTGTCCCCTCATGATGCTGAACCGAGAGGGGTTTAGCTACAGGATGAGATCTGTCCCCTCCTGATGCTGACCGGAGAGGGTTGGTTAGACTTAAAGATGGATTCTGTTTCTGTCCCCTATCATGATGCTGACAGGAGAGGTTGAGCTAAAGATGAGGATCTGATGCTGTCCCCTCATGATGCTGACAGAGAGGTTAGCTAAAGATGAGATCTAGTCCCCTCTAGCTGACAGAGTCTAAAGATGAGATCTACAGATGGGGGGTTTTTAAAAAAACCCCAAAAAAACCCGGTTTTTTCCCCCCCTTTTTTTCCCCCTTTTTTTTGGGGTTTTTTTTGTTTTTTTCCCCCCCTTTTTGGTTTCAAAAAAAAATTTTGGGAAAAATTTAAAAAATTTTTTCCCGGGAAAAACCCCCAAGATTTTTAAAAAATTTTGGAAAAAAAAAAAAAAAATTTTTTTTTCCCCAAAAAGGGAAAAATTTTTTAAATTAAAAAAGGTTTTTCCCCCCCCAAAAACCCCCCAAAAAAAAAGGGAAAAAAATTTTTTTTTTTTAAAAAAAACTTTTTAAAAGGGGAAATTTAAATTGTTTTTTTTTTGGGGGTTTTTTTTGGGAAAAAGGATTTTTTTTGGGGTTTTTTGGGGGTTTAAAAAAAAAGGGGTTTTTCCCCCCCCCTTTTTTTTTAAAAACTTTTTTAAAAACAAAAATTTCCCCCCCTTTTTCCCCCCAAAAAAAGGGTTAAAAAAATTTTCCCTTTTTGGGGCCCAAAGGGTTTTTTTTTAAAAAATTTTTTTTTTTAATTTTTTTTTAAAACCCCTTTTTTTTTTTTTTGGGGAAAAAAAATTTTTTTTTTTTGGGGGGGGGGGGTTTTTTTTTTAAATTTTAAATTTTTTCCTTCCAAAAGGGAAGCTAAAATAAATTTTTCCCCCCCTTAGGGGGCCAAAAGGGGGGAAAAAAAAAAACCCCCCGGGGGGGGGTTTTTAAAAAAGGGATATTTTTCCCCCCCCCCCTTTGACCTGCCCTTTTTTAAAATTAAAATTTTTTTTCCCCCCTTATGTGGGGGGAAAAAAATCTGTCCCCTCATGATGGGGCCCTTTTTTTAAAAAAAATTTTTTTTCCCCCCCCCCCAAAAAAAAAAAAAAAAAGGGGGGGGTTTTTTAAAGGGGGGTTTTTAAAAAAAGGGGGTTTTTTTTCCCCCCCCCCAAATAAAATTTAAAAAAAAAAAAAAAAACCCCCTTTTTTGGGGGGGGGGGGCCCTTTCCCCTTTTTCCAAAGGGTTAAAAAAAGGGGCGGGGGGGCCGGGGGGGTTTTTTAAAAAATTTTTGGGGAAAAAAAAATTTTTTTTTTGGGGGGGAAAAAGGGGGGGAAAAAAAAAAAAAAAAATTTTTAAAAAAAAATTTCCCCCCCCAAAAAAAAAAATTTTTTTAAAAAGGGAAAAAAAAAAATTTTTTAAAAGGGGAAAAAAAAAAGGGGTTGAAAAAATTTTTTTTTCCAAAAAATATTTTTTTTTTAAAAAAAAAAAAAAAAAAAAAAAAAAAAAAAAAAAAAAAAAAATTTTTTTTTTAAAATTTCGAAAAGAAAAAAAAAAAACCTTTTTTAAATTTCAAAAAAAATTTAAAATTAAAAAAAAAAAAAAACCCCCCCCCCAAAAAAAACCCCCAAAAAAAAACCCTTTTTCCCCTTTTAATTTTAAATTTAAACCCAAAAAAAGGAATTTAAAGGGCCCCCCAAAAAAAAAAAGGGGGAAATTTTTAAAAAAAATTTAAAAATTTTTTTTGGGGAAAAAAAAAACCCCCCCAAATTTTTTTTTTTTTTGGGGATTTTTTTAAAAAAAGGGGGGGGGTTTTTCCCCCCCTTTTTTTTTTAAAAAAAACCCCCAAAAAAAAAAAGGGGGGGAAAATTAAAAAATTTAAACCCAAAAAAAAAAAAAATTTCCCGGCCCAAAGGAAAAAAAGGGGCCCAAAAGGGTTTTTCGGGGAAGTTTGGGGCCCTTTTTGGGGGGGAAAAAAGGGGGGGGAAAAAAAACCCAAAAACCCCCCCAAAAAAAAAAAATTTTTTAACCAAAGGGGGAAAAAAACCCCCGGGTTTAAAACCCGGAAA